TACTTCAATTCATACTTTACTTCGCAGTTTGTCATTAAATTAAATCTAATGTTCAAAAAATGTAAATGGATGCATTTATCCGCTGCAACTTCTCAAATATTGGTCAAATCAACTTCTTGTAACAATATTGACACAATTTAAAATGCATTTTAATTTTAAGGGCTTAAAAATAAAATAAGTATTATTTGAAATAAAAAATGAAATAATAATCCCTGAAATTCAAGCCAATATTAGAGAGTATTTCAAAGATATTATGTGCGATCAGAAAGCATTTATATGCACAAAAAATATTTTAAGGTTTTTTTTAAAAAATTTAATGTCTCATTGCCTGTTCCGTTCTGTTTGTGGTGTTCTAATTGCGTTTGCTAGGATATAAGTTGGATATGTATTTTGAATCAGGAAGTAGAAGCGTTAAACGCGGAAAATGCGTTTAAAATGCACGAAAGTATTTGAATTTTAGAAAAAGAAAAGCATTTGTTCACCGTAATTCATTACAAATTTCTGGTAGTGAACCGGTAGTAGCCACGAAATTTTCCGTCTGCGAACATCTCGTTGTAGTGTCATATAAAAATGCAGCCGAGAAATTAGGCAATATTTCTTTTTTAATTTAGTTTATTAATGACACACAGGACTAGCACGACATAAATAGACAAACACACAAATACAATTAACACAAAAGATAAGAAATTTATACATTACAATTCTTATTATCTCGAGTCATGGCCACGCAAAAATCCTATCCGACATTTCATTCTCAAAAAACAACCAGCCTCACTGACGTCCGACCGTCAACTGAATTTTTACGGAACAGTCTGGTGCCGCGCCATCTACCGCAGGCAACAGCAACTATAATGTCCAGTTCCTTACATTGCATACCCCTCTAGAACCTGATTGTGATCTTTTGTTCCTACCTCCGTCGCCTTTGACCTATCCGGAGAAACGGATTAATCTTCGACGGTCACGGTAGAAAGAGAACATTATCTCCTTGAGTGACCTTGATCGCAGTTCATGACAGTTAAAAAGCTTGTAAAATTGAAATTAATTATTGTACAATACTCAAACTAATATCATTGGAAAGATGATTGTTTGCACTTTAAATTGGTATAAAAATAATTTCCATGCGATAATTCCTTTGGAAGTTATTGGCGAAAAAAAGACCAGACACGTCGGAATTTGGCTTACTTTTTAAACAATTAAAATTTGAATAAAAAAATTGGAAAAAAAATGGCTCCGAGGTGCACATTCCCACCCTCTAAAGTATACCTGTACCAAATTTGGTAGCTCTAGATTCAACGGTCTGTTCTGTAGACAGCCAAAAGACAGACACAGACTTTCGCTTTTATTATTAGTAAAAATAAAAGGAAGGTAAGACAGAAAATTGAAGAGTAGAGAGAAATTAATTTAAAAGACATAAGCGAACCAGTGGGAGTAGCCTCCCCTAAACTTTCTCGTATACTGCTCAAAAATTTGTCATTTCCCCTCCCCTTGCGTGGATAAAAAAAATCGAACCTACTGTAATCCAGAATGCAACGAATATCAGAAGGTTTTACATTGCATATTATAGTGATTGTAAAATATTTAGGTGAAGAATCATATTAAAAGAGATGCAATGTATTAAAACTTAGCAATATTTATTTTCCATCACACTCCAGCAAGCTCCGCTACGAGGGAGCGAAAACAAAACAGGAGATAAAACATATCTATCACAAATCTGTCTCAAGGACAAAGTGACGTAATCACCCGCTTGGTACCAGAGGTTGCTACCAGCACGCATGGGCATGGAGTTAGTTTCAAAAGGAAAAAAGTATGCGATAATACAGACCGAAAGACAGTCAGCGCGTTGACGGATTTGGTCCAAAATTTTACACGGATCTACATTCATGACGATAAAACTGTGTACCAAATTTTATCCATCTAGCTGTTCAAGTTTTTGAGTTATAGCGTTCGCATGACCTCGGACATACAGACAAATAGACTTCCATTAAACGGATTTAGTCCAAAATTTGATGGAAACCTACAAATTATGTGTCAAGATCACATACCAAATTTCATCGCCGTAGCTCTAATAGTTTTCGAGTTATCGTGTTGACAGACACACAGACATAATTCCAAAATTGTGTTTTTCGGTCTCAGGGAGGTCTAAAACGTGGAGATTCGTCAAAATCTCGAGTTCGAATTTTTTGACGATTGCAATACTTTCTCTTTGTATACTTCGTATACGAGAAAGTAAAAAGCGATTTTGGAAAGGAAAAAAACGTGCTGATTTACAGTAAACTAAATGCTAAACCTAAAAATATTCTATATGAAATAAAAGTAAAATGAAACAGAAACAAGGCATACACAGGAATGAACTTTAAGAGGCATTACTGGTACATCGTTATACGATAAATTGGATTTACTCAGCTTTCTTCGAAATGCTGGTCATAAAAATGAAAAGAATGACATCAGCGGCCATGACTGAGTGTCGAACGCCAAGATTATATATGAGAAGCTGCGATCATTTCTCGAATGTTCTACATATTATTCGTTCTTAAATCGCATTGTTGACAGTAGCAAAAACAGCTGTCAAGAGAATAACGACTAGCTTTCTAGCCGCCGACTTTCAAAAGTGTTTTAAAGATACTTAGAAGATAACAAAGGAAAGAAAATATAATTCATTCATAAATTGCGAAAAAAAGGAATTGATTTGAACGCTTATGGCTGCATAATGGTTAGTTAAATAAACAGTAAGTTTGCACATTTCGATTGCTGTAAAATAAATCAATAATTAGAAGAAAGTCGAGAGAAATATGAATCAAAATTTATTTCTGACAATCTTTAAAACTTGCAGTTTTTACCGAAGATATTTAATCATTTTCTTTATCTAAAATTTTATTTTATTGGTTTGGACATTCCTGTTGCAACTTCAAATACAAATGTTTTCAGCTGAATAAATCATTTCAATTCTAATTTTTTTTAAAAAAATGAGTTTTCAATTCTATGAGTATCAGATTTAATAATTCAGTACTACTTTTTGCTTTCATTTATGGATTTTTAATATTTCCTTTTTTTTAGGATGGGGATGTCCATTTACATTAGTTGGCTTTTGATATTAGTCATAATGTTTATCAATCACATCGCACATCCGTATCAATTATAAATAACATTGGCAGTTCTAATTATTCATATGTTAATAAAGCAACGACAGAAAATTTCCGAAAAAGAAAAAAGAATAATTACGGCGATTCAATGCATAGAAAGTATTGTCATTTATGAAAAAAAAAATGTATGCTCTCGTGCAAAAAAAAATGTATATCAAAGAGAAAAGCATAAATTAAAAATTAATTTAAATAACATCACCCCAAGAAAAAAGAAAGCAAATAGTACAAAATAATAAAATAACAAAATTGAATTCGTCAAATATGCCACCAGTGAGGACTGTACACTCGACCCCTGGTTTACGAGACCTGTGCTCTAGCCACAAAGCTATAATGGCACGCAGGACTCTAAGCAGATTGTTGGGCTGATGACTGTGTTTCACTCTAAAACCTTATTACATAGAAGAGCTGTCGACTATAACAAAATTGAATTCGTCAAAGAAGCCACCAGTGAGGATTGAACTCACGACCCCTGGTTTACAAGACCAGTGCTCTAACCACTGAGCTATGGTGGCACGCCGTCCTCTAAACAGATTGTTGGGCTGATGACTGTGTTTCACTCAAAGACTTATTACTAATATAATAGCCCATATCTTTCGGTGACGCTCTGACGTCACCAACAAGGAAACTCGCGCTATAGCAATGCGAGACGTTAATCAGTATTATTTCATTGTCAGAGAAACTAACTCTCAGTAATTTTAAAATTAAAAAGAGTAATTGTCTTTCTAATTTCAAATTTAATAGCTCTAAAATAGTGAAATAAAATTTGCTATCTATTGATATAAAATTTATATCGCTATGTTTAATAGTTCCCGAGAAATTTTAAATTATTTTAATCCTGTATTTTGAAATAATTTCCGTATTTTAAAAGAAAATAGTAAATTACGTCAGTGGTATCATCATGCGCATTATATTGTTTGGACGCCAAATTGTATCTGAATGCAATCGTGGCGATGTTTTTCTCTTGCCAAGAATTAAATTAGCCACCAGTGACGTGAATCTACCATTCGTTCTCAACCGCCGCCAGTTCCCGTTAATTCCAGCTTACACGATGACTATCAACAAATCGCAGGAGCAAACTTTCGATCATGTTGGAATTTATCTCGATGAGCTTGTCTTTTCACATGGACAGCTCTATGTTGCACTTTCAAGGTCTAGGATTCCCAATCACGTTAAAATTTAAGCAAAGACATCTGAAGTACAAGAAAAATTATTAAACGACGAAAAATGCTTCACACAGAATGTTGTTTGTCAAGAGGTTTCTTGAATAAAGAAATATTTAAATAATATGCAAATAAAAAAAATATGCCCTTCCATAAAACATACGTTTGTTTTATTTCATTTCAATCAATGTTAAACATTTCTCTCGCAAATATATCTATTTAAACACGTCAAATTTCAAGGGAAATCTCTCGAAGGAAGAGGCAATTTGCACCCGTTAAACCATGACAGGGGTTTTTCTAGTTACATAGAAACAATGTCGATTATAACAAAATTGAATTCGTAAAATAAGCCACCAGCGAGGATTGACCTCACAAACCCTCGTTTAGAAGACCAGTGCTCTAACCACTGAGCTATTGTGGCACACAGTACTCAAAAAGATTGTTCGTCTGATGAATATGTCTCACTCTGAAGTCTTATTACATAGAAGCGCTATCGATTAAAAATAATCGTTTTCGTCAAATAACCCACCAAAGAGGACTGAACTGATGACCTCCAATTTACAAAACCAGTGCTCTAACCACTGAGCTATGATGGCACACAGGACTCTAAACAGATTGTTGTGCTGTTGACTGAAACTCACACTAAAGTCTTATTACCTAGAAACGCTGTCGACAATAACAAAATTGAATTCGTCAAATAAGACACCAGTGAGGATTAAACTCACGACCCCTGGCTTACAAGACCAGTGGTCTAACCACTGAGCTATGGTGGCACGCGGTACTCTGAAGAGATTGTTGGGCTGATGACTGTGTCTCACTCAAAGACTTATTACTAATATAATAGCCCAGATCTTTCGGTAACGCTCTGACGTCACCAACAAGGAAATTCGCGCTATTTGCACTGCGAGACGTTAAACAGCATTTATCATTGTTAGAGAAACTAACTTTCAGTAATTTTAAGTTTAAAAGAATAATTGTCTTTCTAATTTCAAATTTATTAGCTCTAAAATAGTGAAATAAAATTTGCTATCGATTGATATAAAGTTTATATCGCTATGATTAATAGTTCTCGAGAAATTTTAAATTATTTTAATCCTGCATTTCAAAATAATTTTTGTTCTTTAATAGAAAGTAGTAAATTGCGTCAGTGGTATAATCATACGCATTATATTGTTTGGACGCCAAATTGTATCTGAATGCAATCGTGGCGATGTTTTTCTCTTGCCAAGAATTAAATTAGCCACCAGTGACGTGAATCTACCATTCGTTCTCAAACGCGGCCAGTTCCCGTCAATTCCAGCTTACACGATTACTATCAACAAATCGCAGGGGCAAACATTCGATTATGTGGAATTTACCTCCATTAGACTGTCTTTTCACATGGACAGCTCTATGTTGCACTTTCAAGGTCTAGGATTCCCAATCACGTTAAAATTTAAGCAAAGACATCTGAAGTACAAGGAAAATTATTAAACAACGAAAAATGCTTCACACAGAATGTTGTTTGCCAAGAGTTTTTTGAATAAAGAAATATTTAAATATTATGAAAAAAAATATGTCCTGTCATAAAACATATATTTCTTTTATTTCTTTTCAATCAATGTTAAACACTTCTCTCGCATATATATCTGTTTAAGCACGCCAAATTTCAAGGGAAATCTCTCGAAGCAAGAGGCAATTTGCACCCGTCAAACCATGACGGGTGATTTTCTAGCTACATAGAAAAAAGTGTCGATTATAACAAAATTGAATTCGTAAAGTAAGCCACCAGTGCAAATTGAACTCACGACCCTTGATTAACAAGACCAGTGCGCTAACCACTGAGCTATGGCGGCACGCAGTACTCTAAAGAGTGTGTTGGACTGATGACTGTGTTTCACTCAAAGACATATTACATAGAAGCGCTGTCGATTAAAAATACTTCGTTTCCTCAAATAAGCCACCAGAGAGGATTGAACTGACAACCCCCGATTTACAAGACCAGTGCTCTAACCACTGAGCTATGGTGGTACACAGGATTCTAAACAGATTGTTGAGCTGTTGACTGAAATTCACTCTAAAGTCTTATTACAAGAAAACGCAGTCGACAATAACAAAATTGAATTCGTCAAAAAAGCCACCAGTGAGAATTGCACTCACGACCCCTGGTTTACAAGACCAGTGCTCTAACCTCTGAGCTATAGAGGCACGCAGTACTCTAAAGAGATTCTTCGACTAATGACTGTGTTTAACTCTAAAGTCTTATTACATAGACGCTCTGTCGATTATTAAAAAATTGAATTCGTCAAACAAGCCATCATTGAAGATTAAACTTACGACCCCTGGCTTACGAGTCCAGTGCTCTAACCACTGAGATATGGTGGCACGCAGAAACCTAAAGAGATTGTTGGGCTGATGACTGTGTTTCAGTCTAAAGACTTATTACATACAATTTCTGTCGATTATAACAAAATTGAAGTTGTCAAATAAGCCACCAGTGAGGATTGAGCTCTCAACCCTTGGTTTTCAAGACCAATGCTCTAATCACGGAGTCATGGTAGCACGTAGTACTATTCGCAGATTGTTAAGCTGATGATTATGTCTCACTGCGTGTCACTCTAAAGTCTTATTACATAGAAGCGCTGTCGATTAAAAAAAATTGGTTTTCTGAAATAAGCCACTAGTGAGCATTGAACTCGCGACCGCTGGTTTACAAGTCCGGTGCTCTAACCACTGAGCTGTGGTGGCACCCAGTGCTCTAAAGATATTGTTGGGCTGATGACTTTGTCTCACTCTAAAGTCTGATTAAATAAATGCGCTGTCGATTATAACAAAATTGAATTCGTCAAATAAGCCACCAGTGAGGATTCAACTCAAAACCCCTGTTTTACAAGACCAATGCTATAACCACGGAGCCATGGTGAAACGCAGTAATCTAAACAGAATGTTGGGCTGATGACTGTGTTTACTCTAAAGTCTTATTTCATAGACGCTTTGTCGATTATTATAAAATTGAATTCGTCAAATAAGCCACCAGTGAGGATTGTACTCTCGATTCCTTATTTACTAGACCAGTGCTCTAACCACTGAGCTATGGTGGCACGCAGTACTGTAAAGAGATTGTTGGGCTGATGACTGTGTTTCACTCAAAGACTTATTACTAACTAGCTGTTGCCCGCGACTTTGTGCGTGAAGAATTTTAATTATTTTTTTTTTAAATTCACGAATGTAAATGTTTTGTTGCATTTTGAAAGGGGAAAGTAAACGTTCTGTCGGTTGATAATACTTAATTGGATGGCTGACAGGAGTGTACTGTACATGTATTCTGATATAGTTATGTAAATTGTTTATCTATGCTAATATACTTTTGTATATCACATTATTTGTACGGATGTAGAGGTTGTGTGGGCTGGATACACGTGAACCCGCCACATATGACCCACCCATGCGAAAAGTATGGTTGTTCCAAATGTACACCTGCCACTTTCAGTGTCTGGCCCTGATCCTGGCAAATAATATTTTTAAAGGGATTTGTTTCCTTTGGAACTGAGATGATAAATCCTTCGGTATTATCGGAAGGCGTTTAATTAAAACTCTCTCGCTTCTCCCTATATCAGTCATAACAGTAGCTTTCATGACGTTTGGATCTAGGTGTGTAATTTGTAACCTTGTGCCATTGCGCAGTCTCGGTATATCGAGGTTACGTATTAGTAGTACTGGCACACCGACATTCAATCTCGGCTTGTCGGAAGGTGCATCTGATAATTCTAAGATGCTGAAGAGCTCTACAGTATATGATGTTCCTTGTTAATGCCCATTACCGTATCTACAAAAGGATATTCTGTAATATCTCACTGTGAAAATTAAACAAAACATCGAGAGAATAATTCACTAACGTCAATGGATCACTGTGTAACCCTATTAAAAGTCGTAAATGCTACGACAACAGGAAACCGGAAGTGTAAAGTCTGCTTTGTTGTTTATAGTCAAAGAAAGCAATATTTTCTTATATTGACTTTAACACTGGCAAAAGCCCACGCACGAAACAGTAATTTCGCTTGAATTTATTTCTATAAGAATAAAAGTATTGTTAGAAATTGCGTTACAAAATATTTTTAAACCTTGATAATAATCACAGAAAACATTTCATCGCAATGGAATTAATAGCATTAAAAAGATCATTTTTTGGTTTTTAAAATGGCATAAAAATAATTGTTGTCTAATAAATATTTCAGAAGTTATTGGCAAAAAACGTCTGAGCATTAGGCTTAAAAGCGGCTAATTTTCGTTATTTAATTAAATATCTTAAGAACTAATTAACTCTGAAAGTTGAAAATAGCACCTTTGACCTAGAAATATGCTCTAGAATGTCGTGTGTAAATTTCATGTCGCTACCGTTCACCATTTTTGAGGAGTTCTTGTGACCGACCGACAGACAGACAGACAGATACATGCAATTTCTGCCTTATTTTATATATATTTATAAACATAAGCAAAATTTTCAGAAATAAAGGTAAATTAGTTCAAAGTCTAACCGTTTCCTAGCAACTGAGTAGCTATAAATTTGCGTTATTTCAAAATGGTCTGCAAGTAAAAAATTATTAAACTTTAAAAAATGAATAGAAATTGAAGGAAAAATGTCACAGAAATAAAATTGGTATCACTGGAAAGGTAAAATGTGGGACTTTAAAATGGTATAAAAATAGTTTTTATCGGACAATTTGTTCCGAAGTTACAGCGGAAAAAAAAGGATCACGTGATAGTTGATTTAAAAAATAATTTATGCCACATGTTTTCGCATTCCTGAAGGATCACGTGACAGTTGATTGAAAAAGGTGGCACACAGTGCTCTAAATAGATTGTTCCGCTGAAGATAGTGTCTCACTCTGAAGTCTTATTACATAGAAGCGCTGTCGATTATAAATAAAATTGATTTTCAAAAAATCAACCAGTGAGGATTGAACTCAGGACCCCTGGTTTTCAAGACCAGTGCTCTAACCACTGAGCTATGCTGGCACGCAGTACCATAAAGAGATTGTTGGGCAGATGACTGTGTTTCACTCAAAGACTTATTACATGAAAGCTCTGTCGATTATAAAAAAAAATTGATTTCTTCAAATAATCCACCAGTGAGGATTGAATTTACGACCCGTGCTGCAGAAGACCTGTGCTATAACCGCAGAGGTATGGTAGAACGCAGGACTGTAAGTTTATTGTTGAGCTGCTGACTGAAAATACCTCTAAAGATTTATTAGAAAGAAACGCTGTGGACAATAGTAAAATTGTATTCGCCAAATAAGCCACCAATGAGGATTGAACTCACGACCCCTGGTTTACAAGAACAGTGCTCACAACCACTGAGCTATGGTGGCACTGTACTAAAGATTGTTGGTCAGATGACCTGTGTTCTCACAAAAAAGACATAGAAGCTCATTACATAGAAGCACTGTCGATTATAAAAAAAATTGATTTCTTCAAATAAGACACCAGTGAGGATTGAACTCACGACCCCTGGTTTACAAGATCAGTGCTCCTAACACTGAGCTATGGCGGCACACAGTGCTCTAAAAAGATTGTTCCGCTGAAGATTGTGTCTCACTCTGAAGTCTTATTACATAGAAGCGCTGTCGATTATAAATAAAATTGATTTTCAAATAAGCCACCAGTGAGGATTGAACTCACGACCCCTGGTTTACAAGATCAGTTCTCTTACCACTGAGCTATGGTGGCACACAGTACTCTAAAAAGATTGTTGGTCAGATGACTGTGTTTCACACGAAGAGATAGAAGCTCATTGCATAGAAGCACTGTCGATTATAAAAAGCAGTCATCTGACCAACAATATTTTTTAGAGTACTGTGTGCCACCATAGCTCAGTGGTAAGCACTGATCTTGTAAAACCAGGGTCGTCAAATTCCATACTCACTGGTTTCTTATTTAACGAAAACGGCTATTTTGGGCTGACAGCTTCATGTAAGAAGGACTGTACGAGACACAATCTTCAGCCGAACAATCTATCAGAGTACTGCAAAAGCACTAAGTAGCCTTCCAGTGGTTAGAGCACTGACTTGTAAACCAGGTTCGTGAGTTCACCATCACTGGTCTCTTATTTGATGGATGTACAATTTGTTATTTCTTCACAGCGTTTCTTTCACAAGTTCTAGAGGCATTTCAGTCAACAGTCTAATATCATTTAAGAATAATTAATTGTAGATGAGGCCTCACTTTATAATTGATATATTTTATGAAGAAGGCCTTGATAAATACAGTTATCTGCCCAACAACTTTTAAAAATCCTGCGTGCCACTCATAGCTCTAGTGGTTAGAGCGGCCTGTCTTAAAACTAGGGTCGAGTTCAACTTCTCACTTGGTGTGCTTTATTTTGAAGAAACCACTCTTTTTTTTATAATCGATATGCTTCTTATGTAATAAGACTTCAGAGAGACACAATCTTCAGCGGAACAATTCATTTAGAGCACTGAGTGCCACCATAGCTGAGTGGTTAGAGCACTGTCTTTGTAAACCAAGGGTCGTGAAACCAATCCTCACTTTGTGGCTTATTTGACTTAATTGCCAATTCTTGTTATTGTCCAATAGCGTTTCTTTCTTTCAATAAGTCTTTAGAGGTATTTTCAAATAGCCTAAACAATCAACTTACAGTCATGTACCACCATAGCTCTGCGGTTAGAGTACTGTAATCTTCGTGCAGCACGTAATGTTAATCTAACTTTCCTCTGGTGGCTTATTTTAAAGAAATCATTTTTTTTTATAATCGACTGAGTTTGCATGTAATAAGTCTTGAGGAAACATTATCTATCTGCCCAACAATCTCTTTGAAGTCCTGGGTGCCACGTTATACTCAGTATTAGAGCACTGGTCTCTTAAACTAGGGTCGCGGAGTTCAATCTCACTGGTGGCTTATTTGGAAGAAATCAATTTTTTATAATCGATAGCGCTTCATGTAATAAGACTTCAGAGTGAGACACAATCTGAGCGGAACAATCTTTTGAAAGTACTGTAAAAGGCTCATTGCTCAGTGGTAAGAGCACTGATCTTAAACCAGGGTCGTCAGTCTAACTTCACTGGTGGCTTATTTAACGAAAAAAACTATTATTTTAATGGACAGCGCTTCTATGTAAGAAGACTTCAGATGAGACAATCTTTCAGCTTATCAATCTACGAGTACTGTGTGCCACCATAGCTCAGTGGTTAGAGTAATTGGTCTGGGAACTAGGGTCGAGTTCAATCTCTACTGGTGGCTTATTTGAAGAAATCAATTTTTTTTTATAATCGACAGCGCTTTATGTAATACGACTCTAGAGTGAGACACACCAGCGGAACAATTTTTTAGAATACTGTGTATACCATAGCTCAAAGTGTTAGAGCACTGGATCTTGTAAACCAGGGTCGTGAGTTCATTCTCACTGGTGTTTATTTGAAGAAATCAATTTTTTTACACCGACAGTGCTTCTATGTAATGAGTTTATGTCTTTGTGTGGAAATACAGTCATCTGACCAACAATGTTTTAGAGTACCGTGTGCCGCCATAGCTCAGTGGTTGAGCACTGGTCTTGTAAACCAGGGGTCGAGTTCAACCTCTCACAGGGTGCATATTTGAAGAAATCAATTTTATATAATCGATATGCTTTATGCAATGAGCTTCTATCTTCGTGTGAAACATGTCATCTGCCCAACAATCTCTTTTTTTTAAAGTCCTGGTGCCACCATACTCTTAGTGGTTAGGAGCACTGGTCTGTAAAACTAGGGTCGTGGAGTTCAATCCTCACTGGTGGTCATTTGAAGAACAATTTTTTTTATAATCGATAGCGCTTCTGTATGTAATAAGACTGATGGAGACAAAATCTTGAGTGGAATAATCTTTTAGAGTACTCAGGTGCTACCATAATTAAAGTGGTAAGAGCACTATCTTGTAAACCAGTCGCCGTCTAATCCTCTTCACTGGTGGCTGGTTTAACGAAAACTATTATTTTAATTTGACATCAGCGCTTCTATGTAAGAAGACTTCAGACAGAGAGAGCACAATCTTCAGCCGAAATATCTTTTAGAGTACTGTGTGCTACCATAGCTCTTAGTGAGCTAGAGCACTGGTTTCGTAAACCAGGGTTCGTGAGTTCAATCTCTCACTGGTGGCTTAGTCGAAAATCAATTTTATTTATAATCACAAAGTGATCTATGTAATAAGACTTCAGAGTGAGACACAATCTTCATGGAAATAATCTTTTAGAGCACTCAAAAAAAAGTTTTTCTGCCATAGCTCAGTGGTTAGAGTACTGTCTTGTAAACTAGGTCGTGAGTTCAACTCACTGGTGGCTTATTTGAAAAATAAATTCCATTTATAATCGACAAAGCTCTATGTAATAAGACTTGTGGAGTGAGACACAATCTTCAGCGGAACACCCATTTAGAGCATCAAAGGCTCATAGCTCAGTGGTTAGAGCACTGGTCTTGTAAACCAGGGCCGAGTTCAATCCTCACCAGGTCATTTCCAAAGAAATCAATTTTTTTTAGTAATCGACATAAAGGCCTATGTAATAAGACTTCAGAGTGAGACAAATCTTGAGTGGAAATAATCTTTAGAGTACTTAAAAAAGCCACTCATAGTCTATGGTTAGAGCATGGGTCTTCTGCAGCAATGGCCGTGAATCTAATCCTCACTGGTGGCTTATTTGAAGAAATCAATTTTTTTTATAATCGAAAAGAGCTTCATGTTTTAAATCTTGAAAGAAACACATTCATCTGCCCAACAATCTCTTTATATACTGTGCCACCATATTCAGAGGTTAGAGCACTGGACTCTGTAAACCAGGGTTCAGGAGTTCAACTTTACTAGTATTTATTTGACGAAAACGATTATTTTTACTGACAGCAACAATATGTAATAAGACTTGATGAGAAACAATCTTCATTAAAATAATCTTTTAGGAATACTGTGTGCTACTTATAGCTCAGTGGTTATGAACTGGTCTTGTAAAACTAGGGTCGTGAGTTCAACTTTCAACAGGTATTTGAAGAAATAATTTTTTTTTATAATCGACAGCTTCTATGTAATAAGACTTCACATGAGACAATCTTCAGCCGAATAATCTTTTGAGTACTCGTGTGCCACCATAGTCAGTGTGGTTAGGAGCACTGGTCTCTAAACAGGAATGAGTTCAATCAATACTGGTGGCTAATAGAAGAAACTAATTTTTTTTATAATCATCAGAGCTTCTATGTAATGGGTGACTCTGTGAGTGAGACACAATCTTGAGAGGAACAATCTTTTTCAGAGTACTGTGTGCTACCATAGCTCAGTGGCAGAGTACTGATCTTGTAAATCCAGGGTCGTGAGTTCAATCCTCACTGGTGGCTTATTTGAAAATAATTTTATAATCAAAAGAGCTTTATGTAATAAGTCTTTGGAGTTGTTCATATCTATCTGCCTAACAATCTCCTTATGGTACTGTGCCACCATAGTCGGTGTTAGAGCAATTGTCTTGTGAACTAGTCGTGAGTTCAACTACTGATGGCTTATTTGAAGAAATCAATTTTTTTTTATAATCGATGCGCTTCTATGTAATGAGCTTCTATGTCTTTGTGTGTGAAACATACACGACTAACAATATTTTAGAGTACTGGTCTGACAACATGGCTCAGTGGTGAGCACTAGATGTTGTAATCCACGGGTCGTGAGTTCAACTACACTGGTGGCAGTATTTGATGAAAACTATTATTTTAATGGACAGCGCTCTACGTGAGAAGACTGAGATGAGACACAATCTTTCAGCCGTACAATCTTATTAGAGGCAGCGTGCTGCCATTCCTCAGTGATTAGAGCACTATCCTAGAACCAGGAGTCGTGAGTTCACTCACTGGTGGCTTATTCGAAGAAATTCAATTTTTTTTATAATCGACAGTACGGCGTAATGAGCTTCTATGTCTCTTGTGTGAAAATACAGTCATCTGACCAACAATATTTTTAGAGTACTGTGTAAATACCATAGCTCAGTGGTAAGAGTAATTGATCTTGTAAACTAGGGGTCGCCAGCCCATACTCACTGGTGGCTTATTTAACGAAAACTATTATTTTTAATGGACAGCGCTTCTATGTAAGAAGACTTCAGATGAGATACAATCTTCAGCCGAACACCATTCAGAGTACTGCGTGCCACCATAGCTCAGTGGTTATAATTGACTTGTAAAACCAGGTTCGTGAGTTCAATCATCACTGGTCTTATTTGACGGATACAATTTTGTTATTTTCCACAAAGGTTTCTTTCTTTCAAATAAGTCTTAGAGGTATTTTCAAATAACAGCTCAACAATCAACTTACAGTCCTGCGTACCACCATAGCTCTGTTGTTAGAGCACAGGTCTTCTGCAGCACGGGTCATGAATTCAACTCACTGGTGGATTTATTTCAAGCAATCAATTTTTTTTTGTAATCGACACAGCTTCCATGTAATAAGTCTTGAGTGAAAACATAAAGTTATCTGCCCAACAATCTCTTTAGTCCTGCGTGCCACCATATAGCTCAGTGGTTGAGCACTGGTCTTGTAAACTGTGGGTCGTGAGTTCAATCCTCACTGGTGGCTTATTTGAAGAAATCAATTTTTTTATAATCTGACAGAGCTTCCATGTAATAAGTCTTGACTGGAAACACAGTCATCTGCCTACAATCTCTTTAAAGTCCTATGCCACTATAGCTCAGTGGGTTAGAGTACTGGTCTGTAAACCAGGGTCAAGTGAGTTCAACTTTCACTGGTGGATTATTTGAAAATCAATTTTATTTATAATCGACAGCGCTTCTATGTAATAAGATTTGTATGGTGACAGCAATCTTCAGCGGAACAATCTTATTGAGCACTTTCCAAAGCTACCATAGCTGAGTGGTTGAGCACCTGGTCTTGTAAAATCCATGGTCGTGAGTCCAACTTACTGGTGGCTTACATTTGACGAATTCAATTTTAATAATCGACAGAACTTCTATGTCTTTGAGTGAAAAAAACATTCATCCGCCCAACAATATCTTTTTAGCACTACTTGGCACTTAGCTCAGTGGTTAGACCACTGGTCTTGTAAAACTGTGGGCCGGAGTTCAATCCTCAATTGGTGGCTTATTTGATTTAGTTTCAATTTGTTATTGTCCACAGCGTTTCTTTCTAATACAAGTCTTTAGAGGTATTTTCAGTTCACAGCTCAACAATCAACTTACAGTCATGCATACTACCATATAGCTCTGCGTTAGAGCACAGGTCTTCTTGCAGTACGGGTCGTTAATCAATCTTCCTCTTGGTGGCTTATTTGAAATCATTTTTTTTTTTATAATCGACTGAGTTTCCATGTATTAAGTAAGTCTTTGAGTGAAATACATTCATCTGCCCACAATCTCTTTAGTCCTGGGTGCCACTATATACCCTGTGTGGTTAGAGCACTTGGTCTTCAAACCAGGGGTCGTCGCTATCCCTCACTGGTGGCTTATTTGAACAGAAAACTATTATTTTTAATGACAGTGCTTTATGTAGGGAAGACTTCAGATGAGACAATCTTCAGCCGAACAATCTATTCAGGAGTAATTTCAGGTGTTACCATAGCTCAGTGGCTAGGAGAGCACTGATCTTGTAAAACTAGGGGTCGTGAGTTCATTCTCATCAGTGGTTTATTTACAAATCAATTTTTTAGCCAATCGATGCGTTTCTATGGCCGAGCTTCTATGTCTTTTGTAGTGAAACACAGTCATCTGACCAATGTTTTAGAGTACTGTGTGCCGCCATACTCAAGTGGTTAGAGCACTGGTCTGTAAACCAGGGTCGGAGTTCAATCCTCAATAGTGGCATATTTGAAGAAATAAATTTTTTTATATAATCACAGTGCTTCTATGCAATGAGTTTATCTCTTCGTGTGAAACATAGTCATCTGCCCAACACCCTTTAAAGTCCTGTTACCATACCTAGTGGCTAGAGCACTGGTCTTGTAAAACCAGGGGTCGAGTTCAATCCTCACTGGTGGCTTATTTGACGAATACAATTTTGTTATTGTCCACAGTATTCTTTCTTCTGGGCTGTTTCTAGAGGTATTTTCAGTCAACAGCTCAACACCAACTTACAGTCCTGGTGTTCCACCATAGCTCTGGCGGTTAGAGCACAGGTCTTCTGCCACGGGTCGTGAATTCAACTCCTCACTGGTATTTATCGAAGAAATCAATTTTATAATCGAAAAGAGCTTCTATGTTTAAATCTTGAAAGAAACATATCTATCTGCCTAACAATCTCTTTTATGGTACTCATGCTACCATAGCTCAGAGGTTAGAGCACTGACTTGTAAACCAGGGTTCGTGAGTTCAACTCAATAGTGGCTTATTTGGATGAAAACGATTATTTTAATGATGCCATGTAATAAGACTTCTGATGAGAAACAATCTTCGCTGAACAATCTTTTAGAATACCAAAGCCACCATAGCTCAGTAGTTTAGAGAACTGGTCTTGTAAAACTAGGTCGTGGTCTAACCTCACTGGTATGTATTTGAAGAAATGTAAAATAATTTTTTTTATAATCGACAGTGCTTCTATGTGTCAAGACTTGTGGATGAGACACACCAGCTGAACAATCTTTTTAGAGTAATGTGTGCCACCATAGCTCAGTGGTTAGAGCACTGCAGCTTGTAAACCAGGGTCGTGAGTTCAATCATCACTGCGGCTTATGAAGAAATCAATTTTTTTATAATCGCTCGGAGCTTCTATGTAATAAGACTTCAGAGTGAATACAATCTTGAGAGGAAACAATCTTTTAGAGTACTGTAAAGCACCATAGCTCAGCAGCTAAGAGCACTGATCTTGTAAAACTGTGGGGTCGTGAGTTCAATCCTCACTGGTGGCTTATATTTGAAAATCAATTTTACATAATCGAAAGAGCTTCTATGTAATAAGACTTGGAAAGAAAACATATCTATCTGCCCAACAATCTCTTTATATATACCGTGTGCCAACCATAGCTCATGGTTAGAGCACTGTCTTGTAAACTAGGGTCGAGTTCAATCCTCACTGATGGCTTATTTGAAGAAATCAATTTTTTATAATCGACAGTGCTTCTATGTAATGAGCTTCTCTTATGTCTTTTGTGTGAAACACAGTCATCTGACTCAACAATCTTTTAGAGTAATTGTCTGACAACATGGCTCAGTGGTAAGAGCACTGATAAAACTACGGCTCGTGAGTTCAACTTGGTCACTGGTGGGCTTATTTGACGCGAAAACTATTATTTTAATGGATAGCGCTTCTACGTGAGAAGACTTGAGATGACACAATCTTCAGCCGTACAATCTTATTAGAGTACAGCGTGCCGCCATTCCTCAGTGATTAGACCACTGGTCTTGTAAACTGTGAGTCGTGGAGTTCAATTTCACTGGTGGCTTGTCGAAGAAATCAATTTTTATAATCGAGGTGCTTCCATGTAATGAGTTTATGTCTTCTTTGTGTGAAACACAGTCATCTTGACCAACAATATTTTAGAGTAATTGTGTGCCACCATAGTCTGTAAGACACTGATCTCTTGTAAACCAGGGTCGTCAGTTCCATATTCACTGGTTTCTTTATCGAACGAAAACCATTATTTTAGCCGACAGCGCTCGATGTAAGAAGACTCAGGATGAGACACAATCTTCACTGAACACCATCCAGAGCACTGCGTGCCACCATAGCCCAGTGCGGGTTAGAGCACTGGATCGTAAACCAGGGTCTGTGAGTTCAATCATCACTGGTCCTCATTTGATCTGATAATTGCATGAGTTCTTCCACAGCGTTCTTCCAAATAAGTCTTTAGAGGTATTTCAGTCAACAGCTCAACAATCAACTTATATCCCAGGTACCACCATAGTCTATGGTTAGATAATAGGTCTCTCTGCAGTAATGGGCTGGTGAATTCAATCCTCACTGGTGGATTATTTCAAGAAATCAATTTTTTTTATAATCGACACAGCCTTCCACATGTAATAAGTCTTGAGTGAAACACAGTTATCTGCCCAACCACCCTTTAAAGTCCTATGTGCCACCATAGCTCAGTGAGCACTGGTCTTGTAAACCAGGGGCCTTTGAGTTCAATCCTCTACTGGTGGTTTATCGAAGAAATCAATTTTTTTTATAATCGACAGCTTCATGTAATAAGACTTCAGAGGAGTATGCCAATCTCAGTGAAATAATCTATTTAGAGCACTGAGTGCCACCATAGCTGGAGTGGTTAGGAGCACTGGTCTGAAACTCAAGGGTCGAGAGTCCAACTCTACTGGTGGCTTATTTGACATATCACAACTTGTTGGTTGTCTACAGCGTTTCTTTCTAATAAGTCTTAGAGGTATTTTCAGTCATCAGCTCAACAATCAACAACTTACAGTCATGTGTACTGCTCACTTGCGGTTAGAGCACAGGTCTCTGCAGCACGGGTCGTTAATCTAATCCTCTCTGGTGGCTTATTTGAAGAAATCATTTTTTATAATCGACTGAGTTTGCAAGGGCCAAGTCTTTGAGTGAAACACATTCATCTGCCCATCAACTTTTAAAGTCCTGGGTGCCACTATACCTCAGTGGTTAGAGCACTGGTCTTCTAAAACCAGGGTCGCGAGTTCAATCCTCACTGTGGCTTAATGGAAGAAATCAATTTTTTTTATAATCGATAGCGCTTTCTATGTAATAAGACTCAGAGTGAGACATACAATCTGAGCGGAACAATCTTTTAGAGTACTGTGTGCTACCATAGCTCAGGCACTGATCTTGTAAAACCAGGGTCGCTTCGTCTAATCTCACTGGTACGTATTTTAACGAAAACTATTATTTTAATGGACAAAGGCTTTATGTAAGAAGACTTCAGATGAGACACACAATCTTTCAGCCGAACAATCTATTCAGGAGTACTGTGTGCCACCACAGCTCAGTGGTTGGGGAGCACTGGTCTTGTAAACTAGGGTCGTGAGTCTAATCATCCTCACTGTGGCTTATTTAACGAAAACTATTATTTTAATGGATACGCTTCTATGTAAGAAGACTTTAGATGAGACACAATCTTTCAGCCGAACATCTTTTTAGAGTACTGAAAGCACCATAGCTCAGTGGTTAGAGCACTGGTTTTGTAAAACTAGGGTTCGTGAGTTCAATCCTCTCACTGGTATTTATTTGAAAATCAATTTTATTTTTTTTTTTATAATCGTGACAGCGATCTATGTAATAAGACTTCAGAGTGAGACAATTAAAGGGAACAATCTTTTAGAAAGCGTTCGTGTGCCGCCATAGCCTAGTGCGGTTAGAGCACTGGTCTTGTAAACCAGGGTCGTGAGTTCAATCTCACTGGTGGCTGGTCGAAAATAAATTCCTATTTATAATCGACAGCGCTTCTATGTAAGCAGACTTCAGAGTGAGACACACCAGCGGAACAATCTATTTAGAGCACTGTAAAAGCCACCATACTCAGTGGTTAGAGCACTGGTCTTGTAAACCAGGGTCGGACAGAATCCTCACTGGTGGCTTATTTTACAAAATCAATTTTTTTTTTATAATCGACAGCGCTTCTGTGTAATAAGACTTGTGAGTGAGACACAATCTTGAGCGGAAATAATCTTTTTTAGAGTAATTGTGTGCTACCATAGCCTGTAGTGTTAGGAGCACTGATCTTGTAAAACAAGGGGTCGAGTTCATTCCTCACTGGTGGCTTCTATTTGACGAAAACTATTATTTTTACGGACAGCTCTATGTAAGAAGACTTCAGATGAGACACAATCTTCAGCCGAACATTCTTTCAGAGTACTGTGCGCCGCCATAGCTCAGTGGTTAGAGCACTGGTCTTGTAAAACCAGGGGTCGTGGGAGAGTCCAATCTCATTGGTGGCTTTATTTGACGAATCAATTTTTGTTATTGTCCACAGCGTTTCTTTCTAATAAGTCTTAGAGGTATTTTCAGTCAACAGCCCAACAATCAACTTACAGTCATGTACTCACCATAGCTCTGCGGCTAGAGTAACAGGTCTTCTGCAGCACGGGTCGTTAATTCAATCCCTTGCGGCTTATTTGAAGAAATCATTTTTTTTTATAATCGAGCTGGTGAGCTCATGTAATAAGTCTTTGAGTGAAACACAGTCATCTGCCCAACAATCTCTTTGAAGTCCTGGGTGCCACCATACCTCAGTGGTTAGAGTAATTGGTTCTTGTAAACCAGGGTCGAGTTCAATCCTCACTGGTGGCTTATTTGAAGAAATCAATTTTTTTTATAATCGATAGCGCTTCTATGTGGCCAAGACTTCAGAGTGAGACATACAATCTTGAGCTGAATAATCTTTTTAGAGTACTGTGTTACCATATATAGCTCAGTGGTAAGAGCACTGATCTTGCAAAACCAGGTCGTCAGTTCAATCCTCACTGGTATTTATTAACGAAAACTATTATTTTTTAATGGACAGCGTTTAGCGTAAGAAGACTTCAGATGAGACACAATCTTTCAGCCGAACAATCTATATTCAGAGTACTGTGTGCCACCATAGCTCAGTGGTTAGAGCACTGGTCTTTAAACCAGGGTCGAGTTCAATCCTCACTGGTGGCTTATTTGAAGATATCAATTTTTTTATAATCGACACTGCTTCTATGTAATGAGTCATGTCTTGTGTGGAAATACAGTGATCTGACCAACAATGTTTTCAGGAGTGCCGTAAAGCCGCCATAGCTCAGTGGTTAGAGCACTGGTCTTAAACGGGGTCGAGTTCAATCCCTCAATAGTGGTTACATTTGTGGGGAAATCAATTTTTTATAATCGATGCGCTTCTATGCAATGAGCTTCTATCTCTTCGTGAAAATACAGTCATCTGACCAACAATCTTTTGAGTACTACGCTACCATAGCTCAGTGGTAAGAGAACTGATCTTGTGAAACCAGGGTCGTGAGTTCATTCCTCACTGGTGGCTTATTTGACGAAAAAAAAATCATTATTTTAATTTTGACAGCTTCTATGTAAGAAGACTTCAGATGAGACACAATCTTCAGCTGAAAATATCTTTTAGAGTACTCTGTGAAACCATAGCTCAGGCATAGAGCACTGGTCTTGTAAACCAGGGTCGTGAGTTCAATCCTCACTGCGGTTTATTTGAAGAAATCAATTTTTTTTATAATCGATAGTGTTTCTATGTCTTTGTGTGAAATACAGTCATCTGACCAACAATGTTTTCAGAGTAGCGTGTGCTGCCATAGCTCAGTGGTTAGAGCACTGGTCTTATAAAACCAGGGGGTCGTGAGTTCAATCTCAATAGTGGCATATTTGAAGAAATCAATTTCTTTATAACTGACAGTGCTTCTATGCAATGAGCTTCATCTCTCAAGGTGTGAAACACAGTCATCTGACCAACAATCTTTTTAGAGTACTGTGTGCCACCATATTCAGTGGTAAGAGAACTGATCTTGTAAACTAGGGTTGTGAGTTCAATCCTCACTGTATTATTTGAAAACTGATTCTTACTTATAATCGACAGCACTTTATGTACTGTCAGACTTCAGAGTGAGACACACCCTCATGAACAATTTTTAGAGTACTCCAAAGCCGCCATAGCTCAGTGGTTAGAGCACTGGTCTTAAACCAGGGCCGTGAGTTCAATCCTCACTGGTGGCTTATTTGAAGAATCAATTTTTTTATAATCGACAGCCATGTAATAAGACTTCAGAGTGAGACAGCAACACCTTGAGCGGGAAATAACTAATGAGTAATTGTGCCACCATAGTCAGTGCGTTAGAGTAATTGATCTGAAACTAGGGTCGGAGTTCATTCCTTTACTGGGTGGCTTATTTGACGAAAATCCATTATTTTTGTTTTAGCCAAAGCTTCTATGTAAGAAGACTTCAGACATGAGACACACCTTCAGCTGAAATATCTTTTGTAGAATTATCGTGCCGCCATAGCTCAGTAACAGCACTGGTCTTAGTAAACCAGGGGTCGGAGTCAATCTCACTGGTGGCTTATTTGAAGAGATCAATTTTTTTTTTATAACGACAGTGCTTCTAGTAATAGAGTGCCTTTGTTCTGTGTGAAACACAGCTCATCTTGATCAACAATGTTTTCAGAGTACTGTGCTGCCGCCATAGCTCAGTGGTTAGATGCATCTGTTGTAAACCAGGGTCGGGAAATCGTTCACTCAAATAGTGGCACCTGAAGAAATCATTTAGTAACGAGTGTTTCGAGTGCAATGAGCCTTTATCTCTTCGTGTAAACACAGTCATCTGACCAACAATCTTCTTAGAGTTGCTGTGCAATTAAGGCCTGGCTGCGTAAGAGAACTGATCTTGTAAACTTCAGGTCGGAGTTCAATCAATCTGGGTAGGCTTATTTGAAATTCAATTTTTTATATAATCGACAGCTTTCTATGTCAAAATAAGACTTAGAGTGAGAACACCATCTTATGAACACCTAGAGCACCATGTACGCTACATAGCTCAGTGTTAGGAGCACTGATCTTAGTAACGCAGGGTCGTCGTCCCTAACACTGTAGTATTTAACGAAAAAAAACTATTATTTTAATGGACAGCGCTTCTATGTAAGAGAAGACTTGCTAGATTGAGACACAATCTTCAGCCGTGAATCTATTCATAGAGTACTGTAGCTACCATAGCCAGTGTATAGAGCACTGGTCTCTAACCAGGGTCGCGGAGTTCTAATCCCTCACTGGGTGGCTTATTTGAAGAAACCAATCATTTTTTTTGTAATCGAGAAAGGGCCGTTTCTATGTAATAAGACTTCGAGTGAGACAGCAATCTTGAGCGAACAATCTTAGGAGCACTGTGCTACCATAGCTCAAAGTTAGGAGCACTGATCTTGTAACCAGGGGTCGAGTTCTATCTCACTGGTGGCTTATTTGACGAAACCACATTTTAATGGACAGCTCTTCATGTAATGAGCTTATACCTTTTGTGAAACACAGCCGTCTGACGAACAATGTTTTCAGAATACCGTGTGCCGCCATACTCAGTGGCTAGATTGGTCTTGTGTAAAAAACCTTGGGGTCGGAGTCTAACTAGACAGGTACATTTGAAGAAATCACTTTTTTTTTATAATCGACAGTGTTTCATGTAATGAGCTTCTATCTCTTCGTGTGAAACACAGTCATCTGACCAACAATCTTTTAGAGTACTGTGAGCCACCATAGCTCAGTGGTAAGAGAACTGGGATCTTAGAACTAGGCCGTGAGTTTGGTCTCTCACTGGTGGCTTATTTGAAAAAATCAATT